TTCTCTTTAATATGTCCGTTCATCTTTTGTTTTTGTATACATTTTGGACCGGAGGTCTATATGTTTGTGTGTTGGATTCCATGGCTCTGTAAAAACCCGTACATGGCTTGGTCTTGGTTTACCATCAAATATTTTCCCCTTCGGTGTCTCATCATTGTCTATTGCCACATACACGACAGTGTGCATAGTACTGCATACTACTGTGCTCCACGGTCGTCACGGCGTTCTCGCCAGTATCTCATGATTGGTTCTCATGATCGTGTAGACAGATTATTTCACCAGTACCCATTATTGTTTAGACCAAAATATCAGTACCAATGTGTATTTAGAGAGAATATCTCACCGGTACCCATAAGATTGTTTAGACAGAAAATCTCCCCAGTACCCACGAGGTTTTAGAGAGAATTTATCTTGATTACCCATAATTGTTTAGACCAGAGTCCACATAATAATCTATTATATGGTCTCTGTTTAGACTGGATATCTCAACAGTATCCATGACTAAGACAGGATATCTCAACAGTACCCATGACTAAGACAGGATATCTCAACAGTACCCATGGCTAAGACAGGATATCTCAACAGTACCCATGACTAACACTGGATATCTCACCACTACCCATGACTAACACTGGGTATCTCACAAGTACCCACGGCTAAGACATGATATCTCACCAGTACCCATGACTAACACTGGATATCTCAACAGTACCCATGACTAACACTGGATATTTCACCAGTACCCATGACTAAGACAGGATATCTCACCAGTACCCATGACTAAGACAGGATATCTCAACAGTACCCATGACTAAGACAGGATATCTCACCAGTCCCCATGACTAAGGCAGGATATCTCAACAGTACCCATGACTAAGACTGGATATCTCAACAGTACCCATGACTAAGGCAGGATATCTCACCAGTACCCATGATTGTTTAGACAGAATAGTAAGAGTTCCTATGATTGTTAAAGGCACAATATGCTTTCCTCACGATTTTAGAGCTGTTTTCTGTCTAAGATACCTTCGATAGAATGGTACCCGGAAAAACAGCGTGAAGAATATGTTAAGTGGTTTCACGACCAGTGCACGCAGAGAGCGATGCGCCGCTAAGCCAAGGGAGGATGGTCCCAAACCCGGAAGCAGGGGTCTTCATCTGTCATCTGACTGCTCATGTTTACACAGGTGAACCTGCCGTGTCCTATCTTCTTCTATCAACAGGAACATCCTACCCACCAGCACTCCGATTCGGTCACTCAGCGATGCAGCTTGTCTTTATTCATTACTCGCTTTCACAAATAAACGACATATTAATCATACCTTTCTCTTGAATTTGTGGTATTTGTTTTGTTTCTACACACATGACATCATCCAATTACTCAGAGCAATCTGGCAACTTCAAATAATCAAATGTGCAGCAAAATGAGTGTATAATTTCCAAATGGCATCACCTTAACTGCTGGGGACAAGAGAGTATACACCCCGCTTTGATGGGGTGAGTGAGTGAATGAGCAAGTAAATGAAGCGTTAAGCTGAATCAGCAGTATTGCAGCAGCTAATACCCCGGTTTGATGAGGAATGAAAGTAAAACAAGATTATATATTCTTATTTATTTTATATATTATATATGAAATTACATACATACAGAGAGAGAGAGAGAGAGGGAGAGAGGCTGAAAACAGTCACTGCCTATATTGTGTAGTTTTGGATGGCAAAGCTTTGTTTTGTCGGCAGTGTTTTAGTGACTAATTTCAGTCTAGTAACATTTGTAACTATTTGGTCAAATGCACTTTTCAAGTCAGTATATTTTTCGTTTACATTCGCTTCCTATTAACACTCGTATTATTTTTTAGTTTGTTGTTTAACGCCGCACTCAGCAATGTTCAAGCTATATGACGGATATGTTCTATTAATAGTTGGAGTTTAATAGTGCATTAGCCTCAAATGCCACGACAAAATAACCTTCAAGTGCATGTGTAGTACATGTTTAATAACCTTTATAATGCATATATAATAGCTTAAAGTTTCATAGCTTCAAATTACTCAGACTTTTTTTAGATCGCGTTTCATACATGCTCAGCTAACTGCTGAATTGTGCAGCGTCATTGTGGTTTATGTGTTTTGATGCATTAACCCGTTCGAATGATGATGCCGAAAACACGAGGTAATGTAAATCCTTGAGTGATCGAATCTTTTGTTTCGCCGCAGACACTTTCCAATTGTACCTATGGTGTCTTTAAATAGAGGACACCAGACCTACACGACAACAGACCTCGGTTGACCCGGTGTCATTCTCGATTTTTACAGGGCATTATACATCGTAGACTGACAATTAGTCCAAGAAAAGTAATCGTATTTAAAAAATTAAATTTTCGAAAAATATTAATAAAATAAAAAAGGCACAGGAAACAATTCTTAAATTCAGGACAGCTTAGGCTGGTTGGTTAGTCTGTTGTTTAACGCCGTACTGAGCAATATTCCAGCTATATGATGGCGGTGTGGAAATAATCAAGTCTGGACCAGACAACCCAGTGATCAACAGTATGAGCATCGATCTACTGTCAACCAAGTCAGCGAGCCAGACCACCCGATCCCGTTAGTCGCCTCTTACGAGAAGCATGGGCAGCCGAAGACCAATTCTAACCCTGATCTTCACAGGTCGACAACATAGGTAAAACCCAGACTAGGACAGTTGTATTAGATTTGCAAGTCATAACATTGATTACACAACAGTCTCGTTTCCTGTTGACTGGGTTCCGTCCTATTGAGAAACTTAGTACAATAACCAGTCCAGAATTTTGAGACCAATTCATTTAACTGGATACATAAATATTAATCAGTATTTTGTTATACATCTAAGCACTTGTATATTGCAACACTACGCTCCTTCTAATCCTTGCAAACACGTCGTGCAGCATGCTCTATCGTACAGCGAGCTCTGACAAACGGAAACATGGAAATCGTGGAAATCTCAAAACGAGGCTCTGCCGCTAGAACAGTTTGGCGGTCTGGTACGGGCTTGATATTATATCAATCACATTGTACAATACAGAACTACTCTGAAAAAGCGCAAAAAAACCCACATAACAGGTGTAACCAGTGAGTCAGATGCATTGTGAATCATTTTACGACCTCATCAAACGGGGCAGTCTGTGACGTCTTTGTTAAGGTCATGCTGCCTACACCTCGCCATAAAATATAGAAATACGATGTTATTAAAGTATAAAATTCAAATTCATTCATAAATACCATTTTATTATGAAGCAAGGAATTGGTATTCAGTGTAACCATAGTTGTTTGTGATGTCTATTTTCTCTTTCACACGAGAAAATTCGGATCGGCTGAGAAGTAGGACATTGTCTGAATAGGTTAATGAGACTCATGTTTCGGTTTTGTTGATCCTTTTTAATTTAGTCTCTGTTGGGTTCGGGAGATGTATTCATACAGTAAACCACGTTTATGGTGAACACGCTTATATCGAACTGGTGGATATAACGAACTGTTTTATCCCGACTACTTGCTGTTTATTTTAGTTGGTATGTGAAACTATGGATATAACGAACTAAAATTAGTGAACCTTTTGAGTTCGCTCTAACCGTAGTTTACTTTGACTAACGGTTAGTCTCTGAATATATATCATTTTGATAGTAAGAAATAAACCCATTTAAATTGAAAAGGAGACCCAATTCAGAAACTGAGGAAATCTAGACTTGCTTCATTTAGGGTTTTAGCATTGGAGGGAGGGCTAGGCAGTAGGGTAAATAATGTGGTTCAGGGACTGTGAGACAGACTAAGGGTACCCTCACGATCCATGAAACATAGGGTAATGGGGACTTATCTTGTATGCCGAAAGACTCTTGAGAACCCTTTGCGGTAATCTTAGCGCTGAGAGAGTTTTGTGGAAAGACCCTGGCTTGAGGTCGATGTTATTCTCACCCATCCATACCACGTGACGGATTATCAGATTTCTGTACTTTTCTTATCTCATCCCCTTCTCTGGAGTTCGCTCCCCTCATTTACATCACGGTGATATATATACTCACCCTGGGGACTCGGGATAAACTCGGGTCATGTGGCGTAAGTCGTGATTGTGGGGGCCCAGTCTTTCCGTAACCGCGTCCTGTGATAACCCTTGACTGTACCCGGACCTGCTGCCGTGTTCAGGATAGTGGAAGACGGATAGCGGGTTACTACAGTGCTAAGTTAAAACGGCGTAGTGTCTGTTTTTATGAATATACTGTCTGAAATACCCTTAAATAGCACCTAAACATAAATAATGTAATCTAAACATAAACTTATTATTTCTGGAAGTTTTATGCATTTGGAACACATCGGAGTAGAGGAAACCAGATATCCCGGATTTGTTTTTATGAAAAATGGGACTGCCTGTCTGAGTCTCTGTGCCACGTGACTACATAAAGTTGAATCGATTTTCTTTAAAATTACTAAATTACATTTTCATTTTGTTATATGACAGTCCTACCTCCCAGTGATAATAGACCTGCGTTCAAGCAGAAGAAAATACGCATAAGGCCGCCCTACATACAGACTGTGGTTTGAAACTGCGGCCTTCAATTACTTTATAAAATGCAGTTTTTCATTCTATATATTTCAACTCATATATTTTCTTGATAAACCTTAAAGAAGAGTAAAAACTAATTTGTTTTAGTTACCTTCTGGTCATAATCCTGAAAATCCTGGCTTTGCTAAGTTTGTGGCACGTCCGTTGCTGAAGCTTTACTTTAAAGCGACAACACCTATGTCTAAAGATGGAGGCACGTATAGCTGTTTTAGCACAGAGGGCAGTGGAAAGCCTAGTAGTAAAAGCATTTGGTTGTCACTTGATTCCCAAATGTGAAGCCCATTTCTGGTGTCTCTTGCCGTATATTAATGGAATATAGCTAAAACCGACACGAAACCTCACTCACTCACTTATTTAGCCACCCACCCACCCACTCACTCACTCTCTAAATCACTCACTCACTCAGTCACTCTTACCAAAGAAGGGACACTCTTGGTACAGGACTTGTCTGGGGAACAACATTTCAAATTAATCCATTTATCGAATCCAAGATTCAGTCTGTCCCCAAGTTAATACGATTCTTGGTCTATCTGTACCATACGTAAGGTTTTAGTTGGTACCCACGTGGTAAGCGCCTCAGACAAGGAACTATTCAGAGCCGTTTCTATAACGTCAGTAATTCTGACAACTTGAGTAATTTGTGTACTACTCTGTTATGGTGATCAGTTGATGGAGTGTGTCTCGTGTTGACTTGTGTTCTCGTGGTTCTGTTAACCGATCACATTAGTGCTGTCAGTATGTCTCACGGCACCAAAACCGCATTCTTTTCGATCGAGCCCTCTTCTACAATGCTCCAACCCTAAATGAGGCAAGTCTAGATTTCCTCGGGTTCTGAATCTCCCATCTCACTGGGCCCCTTTTCAATTAAAATTGAATTATTATAATCTATATTACTGTAGATAGTTTGGGTTTAAACAGTGTCTTAAGTTTATAGACAAAGAAGCAGTGGTAGTTATTACAATGATCAATGTCTTCATGAAATAGCACGCTATATATAAAATGAAATATTCCGAGACGTCAATCGTATTTGACGTTAATGAATTAAATTTGTATTTGTGGATGAACATAATATTTTCGTTCGATATGGTTTTTGTTTTGGTGTTGCATTATCATTAATTTTACAGCGGAATAACAGTAATATTTATCTTCAGTCACGTACAAAGAACAGTGGAGACAGTATTGCATTCACATTGTGTATTTGTGGCTGCTTGGTTCATACATTAAAGGGGCGGTGGGGTAGCCTAGTGGTTAAAGCGTTCGCTCGTCACGCCGAAGACCCGGGTTCGATTCCCCACATGGGTACAATGTGTGAAGCCCATTTCTGGTGTCCCCGCTGTGATATTGCTGGAATATTGCTAAAAGCGGCGTAAAACTAAACTCACTCACTCATATATTAAAATATGCAAGTTACATCTGATCAGTGCCAGAGGTATTTACTTACACTGACATTTGAAACAGTATCACGCTGCTCGTAATATTCACATTTATTTAAGGTAAAAAAAAGTTAACATTTCCTGAATTTATGCCTGTCACCATGGCAGCGGGGCCATTGATAGCACAGTCGTCTTAGATGCGGAACATATATTCGCAGAGTTGCGCCCCTTACACATCTCAGGATCCTTTGATCGCAGTTTCGAATTTGGGAAATATCCGCACCGTAAATGATCTAGATGCTTCAAAGAGATAATACCTGCACTTAAAGATTATCCACCACATCGGACACACGCGCGGGGATACAATTGAAATACTATTTGCCTACTCCTTCATTTGCAAAGACACGATCAATAAAAGTTCTTGAAGCCACAAGTAAGATAGACATTATAGATGCTTCTCCCGACTTCCTATTTCGATCAGGATAAGGAAATCCAATATATCATGTCACATGCTGTTACTTCCTCCTTCATCAACTAGTGTCAGATGATGGTATCGTACCACAAGGGACGTAACTGCGTATTGCCGATAACAATTGGTGTAGTACTCATCAATTATGATACGCCATACACCAGGCTGGTTTTGAAAATACCGATTTTGATGTTTTGATTTTCTTTGACCTTAGTTTAGATGTTGCAACATGGATATATACTCTTGTTTGATATTTGGTTCATCAATCTTGTGACTTTATTCAAAATCTGTACCTAAATAAGTTAGTTTTACCTACAGAACCTATGTAAATGGTGAATGTATAAGCGTTCAGCATGCTTCAGTGTGTACCCCCATCCCCACAATAAGACACCACCCGTAGACCCTCCACGCCTACAACTCCCTATCCCGAGTCGAGTGGTATTCACTGAGCGGGTAAGTGAGTTTGGTTAAAGGCAGCTTTGAAGAGGGTAGGACAAAATCCCAACCGGATGTAGATATTCTTATTTTTCCTCATAAATAAGCATTATTGACCATAATCACATAAGCACATAATAACATGATTCAGCACATAATAACTCTCATTTAACTTATTATTGACCTTAAGCACATAAGCACTAATAACATGATTCAACACATAATAACGCCCATTCAACTTATTATTGACCATAATCACATAAGCACATAATAACATGATTCAGCACATAATAACTCTCATTTAACTTATTATTGACCTTAAGCACATAAGCACTAATAACATTATTCAACACATAATAACGCCCATTCAACTTATTATTGACCATAATCACATAAGCACATAATAACATGATTCAGCACATAATAACTCTCATTCAACTTATTATTGACCTTAAGCACATAAGCACTAATAACATGATTCAACACATAATAACGCCCATTCAACTTATTATTGACCATAATCACATTAGCACATAATAACATGATTCAGCACATAATAACTCTCATTCAACTTATTATTGACCTTAAGCACATAAGCACATAATAACATGATTCAACTCATAATAACTCCCATTCAACTTATTATTGACCTTAAGCACATAAGCACACAATAACATGATTCAACACATAACTCCCATTCAACTTATTATTGACCTTAAGCACATAAGCACATAATAACATGATTAAACACATAATAACTCCCAGTCAACTCTTGACAGTTTGGATGCACGTTTCCTGGAGGCGCTTTGCTGTCTGGATCCGGAATTTCTTCTGCCTTTTTGATAGTCTCTCCCCCGTGGAATGTGGCACAATTGCAGCATCTATCTGGAATCACTGAATTAGCTCACTGGCCTCTGTTACGAAAACATTCTAATAAACTTATCCCACTGGCCTCTGTTACTATACCATACTAATAAACGTATCCTCTGTCATGAAAACTTAAATTAAAGGGATTTTGCCCTATGTTGTTATTTTGGTGTGGGATTTTCTCCAAAGAAATTTCGTCTTATGGGATTTTTTCTGGGTGGTATTGTGTCCGTTTGGGACTTTGTCCGTGCCCCGCTTTGAACCGTATTCCAGTTTAATCTCGGGGTGTCAGGATGACGTAGGAGAAAAGGTCCGAAGTGATGCAGATCTCAGACCTGAATGACAAACCTAGAAACATAATCGGACCGAACCAGGATTCGAACCAACGAGCATATGTTCCTGGTGTTTCCAAGGGACGCAACTCTGGCGTATAATGGCGTCATTATTGAGAATGCACAAACCATTTTTCATTGTATGTAAACTAATTCTAAATGTTTACAAATTATTCCAAACAGCCAAAATAATGTTTAAAATGAAACGGATGTTTGGAGGCTGTATTCCAAATGGAAGCGTTTTCAATCTGAAAATTATACTTTGGAGGAAATATAAGGTTCATGTTACTTCCGAGTCCTGGGGAAGTGCATCTGTATTTGTTTGCCTTCTGGACAAAGAAGAAGGATGCAGAAGGCAAACCACGTGATCTATAAACAACTGCACAAAAGCTCCCATAGGACAATACACCAATAGTCCCTCTGTGTCAAGGCACATGAATTCGTGTTATTTGAATTCAAACTCGCAGCTTTGAAGGTTTTGGTGAAAGCCGTATGACATTCTTATTCAAGTTTCCCTTCCTATTTAAAACCCGTGTGATGTCGGTTTGGGGCGCAATTCGCCCCAGACGCCGGAAAATGTGGAAATCTTACAAGTCTGATCAAGTTACGTCACAACTGCTTGTCTTGCCACAGTGACAGTTGGAAGCAGGGGGGTTCGACTTCTGCGGGCGTGTTATGGCTTCCTGGGATGATTTAGTTGAAGGAACGGAAGATTCATTTCCATCCGGTTGTCTAAAACACAGGCGGTTACGTAATGAGCAGAGTAAACGTTGACCATTCTGAGTCTAATTGGAACGCGGCGAAGGGCAAGAGGCAGCAATCTTGCACATGTTATCGAAATGATGGCTCGGGCGGCTGTAGCTAAGATGACTGGGCCCCGTTTCACAAAGCTCTCGCAGAGCTACGACTGTCGAAAGTCAATGTTACAGTATAGGAGGTACGAATGCTACGAGAAAAGTTACGAGATCTAATGCTTACGAAAGCTTTGTGAAACGAGGCCCTGGGCCTAGATTTCCGCAGCTCTCTTAGCGCTAAGATAGTCGTAAGTTAATGTTAATGTATGGCACTTACGACTATCTTAGCGCTAAGAGAGCTTCGAAAATCTAGGCCCTGGGCTCTAGTCTGCCTTAAGTCTCTGAGCTGTAATATGTTCTATTCATCCAAGCCCTTTCTCTAACGATCCCCCTCCCAAAAATAAGCAAGTCTAGATTTTTTAAAAGTAAAATTCATATATTTTCAGAAACCGAGTATTTATAGTAAACCATCATTTATCTAGGCGGGGAGACAACAAATAGACTTCATTTTCGTTGACAAGAACACCATTCTCTTTTCACGGTAGGCGAAAACACGGTTCGATTCCCCACACTGATACAATGTGTGAAGCCAATTTCTAGTGTCCATAGCAGGAATGTTGCTAAAAGCAGTATAAACGCATACTCACTCACTGTTTTGTTTAACATGGATGTTTTTAATAAATCAAGACTTGTCAGCTTGATGTTGGAGAATGGACTGGAGTGACGCAAGTCTTGGAAGTTTACCACTTTGGCACGGTTTGACGCTGACTTACCAAGAAACACGGTGATTATAGAGACTGGAGCCTCATTTCCGGTACGCTTAGGGGCTACACAGGCCCTGGACGAGTTGGCCTCCCATGTGACTATACCTGTAGACGATTCTGTCATAATCGTCAAAAACATCCAGTCTGCCTCGCAGTCACTGAACCACAGTGTATTCACTTTCGCCAACCTTTTCTGCAATGCGAAAGCAATATATCGAGCAAGTCTAGATTTTCCTCGGTGACAGGAACTTAATCTCCAGTCTCATTGGGGCTGCTTTTCAATTTAAATTAAATCATTTGTTTCTTTCAAACTCACATTGATATATGTAGAAACTAAGCGCTAGCTTTGAAGGTTCAGTTCAGTAAGAGTGTCTCTCCATAGTTTCAATCACA